CGGGGGGCCAGCCGGCGGGGAGCAGGGTGGGTGTGCCGGCAGGGGGGGGGGGGGTGTGTGTGTGCCTAGCTCCAGGACAGGAAGGCGTCACCACTGTCCCGGGACAGCTGACCTGGAGGAGCTGTTCCAACTGGGCGTTGCCTCAGGCCGGAAGCCCATTGGGACCTTCAGAGCCACTGACGGCAGCAGAGGTCAGGGAGGTCGGGCAGGTACCTGGGAATCCCAGAGACAAGGCCATTGTGCGGGCCTGGCAGCGCCAGCCCCAAGAGCAGCAGCTCGTGTGAAGACGGGGGCTGAGATGGGCCAGCATGCCCCACCCCACCCCCGGGCCCTGGGTGCGCCTGGACCAGCGGCCACAGTCGGGCCACGTCCAGGTCGCACCTGTGGCTGTCTCTGTCCTCCACTGGCCACGGCACATGGTGAACTGCCTTTTGTTTTTGAACTTAACTTCTGTTTTTCACAATTGATTTGAAACACGCACACGATTGCTTTGGCCCAGGCACCGTTCCTGCCTCACTGAGGCGGGCGTGACCCATCCCGTGACCCACCATGCCATGCCGTGTGGTGTCCAGCGGCGGAAGCCAGCAGTGTGAGGCCGGGCATCTAGCCAGAAGAAGAGGGCTGGGGCATAGTGTGTCCCAGCCCGCGTCACAGGGCCCACGTCAGAGGCAGCCCCACTGGCCACACACCCCTTGCAGCAGTGACAACGGCGTCCTCACTGCCAGGCACTGAGAGGCAGGGGCGGGAGGGCCAGCACGGGAATGCCTCAGGGGCCGACCACAGTAGCCTCTGGCTCTGTAGGGGCACGGTGGCCTGGTGGCCCGTAGCTGTGACTGCTCTCTGCCATCCACAGGGCCTCCCACAGGCTCTGTCCCCGGCCCACTGTGGCCCCGGGCTGCCTCGTGGTGGAGTACATGGCCACCGAGGGGACACAGGTGTGCCGGGGCCATGTGCCACGTTGCGACCCAGCTAGGAGTGCCTGGGGCGCCCCACGTGCGGCTGCTCTGCCTGAGGGCTACTGTCCTTGCCAGGGACGGCAGCCAGGAAAGGGCCCTGCTGGGCTCCCGAGCATCCGAGGCTTGGAGGGGTGCCAGCCATGCCCACCTGGGTCCAATTTACCAAGTAGAGACACCCCGAGTGGTTATCGTGCCTTCGTGCCTGGGGCTCTTGTCCACCCGACTTACAGCACAGCAGGGCCTGTTCTGGGGGACCAGGGCCCCGCCCCTGCTACCTTGAAACCAGGCAAGTTCTCTTGACATTTCCCATCTGCTGACCTCACAGGCAACACACGCGCCCTAGCCTCCGCCGAGCCGATGGATCCCGGCTAGCACCAACTTTGCTTAAAAGTCAACGTGAAGACTGTCAACCCCAGGACCCCAGATGTCCTGGCGAAGCGTGATGGGGCCCCTTCAGACCACGGCACTCCTCACGGACAGGTGCCCCCACGGGCCTCCACGGAGCCACTGAGCCCTCCTGACCGCTTTCCTGGGGAGAGGGGTGTGGACAGAAAGAACCATACTGCAGAGACAAGAACACGGTTTATTCTATACACACGTAAGCGGCCGGTCGTGTGAGCACACGCGTGTGAGCAGTCCTCTCACTCACTGTGGAGCAGGGGCACCCGCTGTGAATCGGTGTCAGGGACCCCTTCGTCGTCCTGGCCCGCAAAGGTGGGCCAACCGGTAGTGAGGCTTGGCGGTTACGGGCACGTTTGGTGGGGCCAGCCGGGTGGCATGGTGGTTAAGGCGGCTGGGTACCACACGGCCGACTCTGCCGGTCGAGTTCCAGACCTTGTGGCTTGAAAACACACACCTGGCACACGTGTGCACATGCCCAAAGTCCGGGAGGGGAGTGAAGGAGAAGGGGTTTCAGCATGGCCATCCACTGGGGGCGATTTCTCACTTTCTCTCTCCCAGTGAACACACATGCCCTACAGCAAATTAAAAAGGGAAGGGAAAAAATGTTTAGGGAATGGGTTGGATCCATAAGTCTTTCTGCCTGCCTGTTACAGGGCTGTGTGCTC